GTACTCTGGGCCTACGCGTTGTCCCTCCGCTCTTCAGCTCAAGGCAAGTGCTCCACCACCTGAGCCACAGCGCCACTTCCGGTTTTCTGGTGGTTAATAAAAGAGTCTCATAGACCTTCCTGCCCATGCTGGCTTTGAACTGTGATCCTCAGATCTCAGCCTCCTCAGTAGCTAGGATCATAAGCGTGAGCCACTGGTGCCCAGCTATGTTTTGTTTTTGAAATAGGGTCTCACTAATTTTTTGCACATACTGATCTTCAGCCAGAGAGCCTCCCACCTCCACCTCCCGAGTAGCTGGGATTACAAAAACACCACCATGCCTGGCTGAGTTAAGATTTTAACATACATTCAGTATTGAGAGAGGGTCTCTTGTTTGTCTCCTATGGAGCAGGGGCAACTTGAAACAGTCTTGTTCTGTACCCTAAATCAGCCTCTTTAACTGGGCATCCACCTGCCTTAACCTTGTGCTGGGATTATGGAGGTGTACCACCACACCCAGCTTTTGTTTGTTTTTCACCCAAAGCGGTTAACTGATTAACCTTGCATATCTCTCTTCCTCTCCATCTTCCTCTGCTCCTTTAACTAAATGTAAGGCTTCTCAGAATTTTCTTATCAGTCCCCGCTCAGGTTTAAGTTGCCTCTGTTTTTATTTCCTAGGGTAGGTCTTGTAACTTTAAAATTGTACCCTCACTGAAGAAAATGGCACAATAAATCCTTCATTAGAGTACTGGGGGTTGGGTGTGGTGGCACACAGTTGTAACATGCCTGTAATTTGGAGTCAGAAGTAGGAGAATGGAGACCTGAGGCCCACTGGGTCAAAGCTAGCATGGCTATCAGGAAAAAAAAAATGGTATAGCAGAAGGACTAGAAATAGCTCAGGGGCTGGGAAGGTGGCTCCGGGGTAGAGTGCTTGCCTTGCATGCATGAGGCCCTGCATTTGATTCCTCAGCATCACAGAAGCAGAAAAAGCCAGAAGTGGTGTTTTGGCTCAAGTGGTGGAGCGCTAGCCTTGGCTGAAGAGCTGAGGGACAGCGCCCAGGCCAGAGTTCAGGCCCCATGACTGACAAAAAAGTAAATAAATAAATTAAATAAATAGAGAATAGCTCAAATGGTAGAGTACTTGGCTAGTAGGCTTGAAGTCTGAGTTCAAATTCCATTATTGAAAAAAAAATTGAACCAGATCCACTTGGTTTGGAAGTGCATGCTAGGTTCACAGGTCTCAGAGTCTGAGGCCAGATAATTTCCATTTTGAGGCCAACCTGGGCCTTGTAATGAGATCACATCTTAAAAAGAAAATGTGTCAGGTTCCGGTGGCTCACACTTATAATCCTAGCTGCTCAGTAGGCTGAGATCTGCAGTTCACAGTTCAAAGCCAGCCCAGGCAAGAAAGACCATGAAACTTATCTCCAATAAACCACCAGAAAACCAGAAATGGCTCTGTAGCTCAAGTGGTGGAGCACTCACCTTTAGCTGAAGAACTGAGGGACATCATGACATTGCTCAGGACCATATTTCAAGCCCCATGACAAACAACAAAAGTGTGTGTGTAATAGGGTGGTATCAGATTAGCTCTTATCAAGACTGTGTTTCTCAATAGAATTAAAGTATGATCTGCTTGTCATTTCCCTCTCTAAGTCTCAGCATTACAAAAAGAAGGAAGAAAAGCAACAACAAAAAGCCTCAGAAATAGGAGATTAGACTTGATTTCTTAGGTTCTTTCCTGTTTGAAGACTGTGGTTGAACAATGTTTTGCCCTTCCGTGATTTCACTGGGGACTGAAGGGCAGAGAACCTTCCTTCTGATGGGGGGAGGGCATGTCCACCCCTCAAGCAATGCTGAGCCTGCAGGACCTGGTTCACCCAGGAACCAGCCCACAGCCACCAACATTCCATGCAAACAGTGGGAAGAGCACGTTCAGAGGAGCAAGAGTGTTTGCAAATCCAAGGCAAGGGGCAGTGCCCCCTCCACCTGGTAAGGCAGACCAACGTGGTATTATCATGCTGTTTTCAGCACTTTGCAGACCAAGTCAGTAATAGAATGGCAAAAACTTCAGTGCACCATCCTTTTGGCCTGTAACTTCTCCAAGGCATTTCCGTGCAGATAGACCCCTCTGTGTGTGCAGCTCATGTGCTGAGGAGTTGGAATAGCACCTTTGCAAGGCTGCAGGTCAGACTCACCCCCATGCCCACCAGCAAGAGCATGATGAATAAAGTACTGGACTCACCCGTAGAACACCATGCCATGCCCTGGTAAAGTATCAGGTTTTAGCCAGACCCCAGGGGCTTATGCAAGAGGCCGAGATCTGAGGCTCATGGTTGAAAGCTAGCCTGGACAGAGAAGTCCATGAGATTCTGATCCAATTAGCAACCAAAAGGCTGGGAGTAGAGCTGTGGCTCAAGTGGAAGAGCACCAGCCTTGAGCAGAAAACACTAAGGGACATTACCCAGGCCCTAAGTTCAAGCCCCAGGACTGGCACCAAAAAGTCTGAGTACAAAGCCAATGCAGCAAGGCAATGAAGACAGGAAGAGAGACAAGTTCTAGTGACATTTTGTGTGCCCCCAGCTGCTGGGCCAGCCCCAAACTTGTTATGTAGACCAACTTAATTTGGATTATCATTTAGAACTGAGTCATGATAAGTTCCCTTTGGGGTCCAGAGACAGAACTCCCCCATGTTTGCCTGGCTATAACTTTTGTTTCCCCAGTAGCAGAGAAGGTCAACATGCTTTTTGTCACTGATGCTTCCTCTTTGGAGGGGTCACAAATATTTCTCATGAGTCATCTGCCCTGAATATTTCCCCGGCCCAATAGCAAGTTCAGTGGCCTGTGGTTTGCAGAACTCTTTTTTTCCTTTTTAGAAATGACCGTGACATCTGCCACTGTATAATACACCTCCGGCAAGGTCAGGAAACCTGTTATGAGGTGGGAAGGCATATGCCACGTGTGTCCCTCAAGGAGGAATGCTTCCCCCAAACAATCCGAATCTGACCTTCACTGCGCACATTTTTGGTTTTCAGTACTTGAGCCGTTGGTTTTGTGGAGTTTGGGGCTTCAGGAGCCCGACCTATGCCTGACTGAGTCACGGCAGCGTGATCTTCCTCTGTCCTCACACATCTGCACGGTGGCACTGCATGCTGCCTGACTCAGGGCGGCACCCTGCAGAGGCCACTTAGCCTTCCCGTCCACATAAGGAAATGAAGACTGCCTTACAGCCTTCCCCTCCCCAGCCCACACCCAGGTGCCAGACCCAGCTTCTCCAATGGCCACATCCAGTTGGCTGAGCAAATCTGGAAGGAACTAAGAAGCAGCTATGAGGCTGGAGATCCCAAAACCTTTGCCCAGCTCCCAATTTCATTTGTACATCGTAAACTTCCAAACAAGTCCACATAGTTCAAGTCATCTTTTGGGGGGGGGGGCACCAGTTCTGCTCCCCAGCCAGGGTAGATGCTCACTCCTACTCAAAGACGTTTTTTCTCTGAGCAGCAAAACTCCAATCCTTCCACAGCTTTATCACTGCAATAACATTCAGCAGCCCTATACCGGATAGGATACCCTCAGCTCTCTTTAAAGGAGGCCAATGCAGGAACACTTTGTGGGAGCACTACTATGGACATGGCTTTTTAAAAAAATTTTAAAAGATGGGATAAACCTATTTGAAAGTGAAAGGAGGCTGGGAAGGTGGCTCAGTGGTAGAGCGCTTGCCTTGCATGCATGAGGCCCTGCATTTGATTCCTCAGCACCACATAAGAAAAAAGCCAGAAGTGGTGCTGTGGCTCAAGTGGTAGAGCGCTAGCCTTGAGCTGAAGAGCTGAGGGACAGCGCCCAGGCCCAGAGTTCAGGCCCCACGACCGGACCCAAAAAAAAAGAAAGAAAGTGAAAGATAAGCCATAAAAGAAAGTTGTGAGGCTCGGTTGGGAGGGAGGCCTAATGAGGAACCCTTTGAGGAGCCCTTCCAGAGGGTGGTTATTATGTGGACATGTTTTTAGGAGATTGATGGTGTTAGAACAAATTAGACTTTGCCAGAAAGCCACGCACACATCCAGGCACAAAGAACAAAAAAAGGTTTATTGCCAGCAAAGGGACCAGCAAGACCCCTTCTCACAAAAGAGAAGTGAGAAGTGCCAGCTATTGTCTGAGATATCCTGTATAACCTAGGAGGTTTAGGAGGGGCTAGAAGGGACTAGGAGGCGGAGACCCTGGTGTGGACATAAGGACCAGGGGCTTCATCATGGCAGACAAAAATTTATGGCTGCTGCCCGAGTAGTAGATAAGGGTCCTGCAGCTGCCCTGGCCTGGAGGTCACTTCGAGGGTGGTGGCTGCCCCAGAGGAGTGCCATCCCAAGGTAAGGGGTCTGGAGGCTGATCACTTGTACTGTCATTACTACGTGGGCCTAGTGCTGTCTAGGCAGGGAGCGTGCCAAGCTGTGGGAAGGGGCTCACTGGGTAACAGAAGGGTAGCGACACTGCAGTGTCAGGACTCAGTCTGTACTTTGCCAAAGCCCCCAAGGTCCTGGAGAGATGTCTGCTTCTCTGCTCCCTTCCAAGGAGCTGCCAGAGAGGGCGTGTCCATTGTTAGCTTTGTTTAAATGGAACTGGGTGGCCTGGCATCATGTTTAGAGTGCAGTGTTCATGAGAAGATCCCAGACCTCTCGCTGCAGGTGGACTGAGTCGCCCGCCCGCCCACAGGCATGCTAGCCGCCGAGCACTCCCCGGGACCCCGCGACGCCAGGCGGGAATGGCGCCCAGGCCTTGTAGGCGGCGGCCCGGAGCCCCGGAACCCGGCCCGGAGCCCCGGAACCCGGCCTGGAGCCCCGGCTTCTGGCTCCAGCCTCCGCGAGCAGGTGCAGCCGTCACGTGACGCCGGGAGGGGCGGGGCGCGCCCGCGCCTGCGCGGACGGGAGGGGGCGGGCGCGCCCGGCTGACTGACAGCTGGAGACGCGGCCTCGGAAGGACCCGGCTGCTCGCGGAGCAGAGCGGAGCGCAGGAGCCGCCGCCGCGCGCCCGCGGCGCCCGCCCGCCGCCCGCCGCCCGCCGCCCGGTCCACAGCGGCCGTCCTTCCCCGCGGTGAGACCCGAGGGCCCGCGAAGGGGCGGGCAGGGGCAGCCGGAGCCGCGAGGACCCGGGCGGGAGCTGTCTGCGAGGTGACAGATGGCAGCGCGGGGGCCGGCGGCGGGTCTGGGGTCGCCGCGTCCCGGCGGGCGGGAGGTGGGGCCGCCGGGCTGACCCCTGACCCCACGCTCTGGGGGAGCGCGGGAGGGGCGCGGGCGCAGGACGGGGGCGCAGCTCTCCCAGGCACCCCCCCCGGCCTCCGGGGCCCCGGCCGGGGGAGGCCGTGCGGCGGCCCGCCGCGCCCCGCGCCCCGCGCCCGGCCTCGGACTCCCGGGGGGAGAGGGGACAGGCCCGCAGCGGGCAGGAGCGGGCCTCCGGCCGGCCCGGGGACCCCCCCCCCCCAGGAGCTCCCTCCTGCAGACCAGCCCGGGCCCCGGCCAGGCGCATCCCGCCCAGTAACCCGAGGCTAACGCTTCTGATTCACCGGATTAGAGCCCCAAAGCAGGGCGGCCAGGAGATAGATGCTCACCGCCCGGCTGAGCAGTTTGCAGAGAGACAGACCGAGCGAGGGAGGCCAGGCAGATGAGGAGGAGGGAGGGAGGGAGGGACTGGGGAATGGATCGCGCCAGCCAGCGAGCATTCCTTCCTCCTCTCCGCTGGGAAGTGTCCATCCACCATTGTTCAGAGGGGCCACTCTGGGTCAGAAATGGGAGCGCTTATTCCTTTGAAGTCCGGGTCATAGGCTGTTGAGATCCGTTCAATGAAAAGGGGGAAAAGCGGGGAAGTTAATGGCCAGGGACCGGCCTGTGCATTGCATTTCGCAGTTGCTTTTCGAGGGCACGTGTCCTGAGGGTTAAAGAGGAGGGGGACGCTCAAATTCAGATCACCCAGTGATCTGAATGAATCACAACTTACAAAGAATTTGCTAACAACATTCCGTCAGTTGGGGAATCTTCACAGGCACTAGAGGGGATTCTCTCCGGTGACAGTCACCTCGTTTCTTCAAAGGCAAATTGATTTACGGTAACCCCAAATTGCTTTGTTTAGGGGGAAGCTTTAGGGTGGATGAGATACACCCTGTGCCTGACTCTCTCCCTTTCCCTTCCTTTCTCCTGCTCTGAAAACAACCAGGTTAAAAGAAATAACAAAGCTGGGCATGATGGTTCACACCTGTAATCCCTGCAAAGGTGATTTCAACACCAGCTCTTAATGCAGCTCCACCATAAACTTGGAAGTGACAGGTGCTATTACCCCCCTGTGTCCCAGATGTACGAGGAAGCCGAGGCTGACTGGCCCAGGGTGAAGCAAGGTGTTAAACCTCACTGCCAACACTAGATGTGGAATCCTGCCCCCACAGGGGACGTGGGATTTGTGTGGTTGGATTACGTGTCCTGACAGGGTTGTGAGCGCCCTCTCCCATCCCTGCCCTGCTGACAGCAGGCTGGCCAGCAGGGCTGTGTCTTCTGCACTTCCTCTACTCAGATTTGTTTATGGTTTTTGAGAAATCTAGTAGGAAGTATGATTACAAATAATGTCTTTTGCTCAAGTGTCTGATGTTGCAAATAGTCCAGGTGCCTTCAGCCGTGTGTTGCAAGAGGACAAGGCTGGTCCAGGGATACTCACTCTCATGGTTCTTCTTGGCCTCCACCCGGCGGAGAAATGTTGTGAGACCACAGGTGCTAGTGCCCAGTAGCTGTGTTTGTGTGCATGGGTATTTTATACTTGGTGTCGTGTGGATTAAGGTGGCACTTTCTCCCTCCTCTTTACACCCCTCACCCCCAGCACAGTTGTTCTCACTAGGATGGAGCAACCTTTTACTCCATTCTCTAGCTCAGGGTAACATAGCAAGGACTTAGGTAGTGGTGGTGGTGGGCTCTCTGTCATGCATTTCAGCAAGCCAGTGGTTCAAAGAGGAATGAAAGGCTAGGCACTCTCTGGCACATGGTTAAAAGCACAGATCTGGAAGGAAAGGCTCCCAGAGGTACTGCTCTTGGGACATCACATTCTGTTCTGGACACCACGCTGGGTGATGGACGTAGGAGAACTCCAGGTGCAGTCTTGAGAAGTTGCTGTGGTGCTGAGGGATTGGGGGTTGGCAGAAAGTTTGGGGCTGTTGTTAAGGCCCCCGATAAGCAAAGGACGACCGTTCCCGACAGAAAGGTTCCGATCTGAACTAGATCATCCCGCAGTCTCTCTGCCAGCACCTCGGTGCTCTTGGACAAACGTCAGAATCTGCCTTGGTTGGTGAGGTAACGTACAGGCGCACACCGACCTCCCCTGTTTTTCCAGCTCAGCAGTTACCACTCTCTCACACAGGCCCCACCTCTCTGGGCCTTGAGCCTTCCTGGCTGTCCCTCCTACCACATTCCCCTGTGGCATCTCCTTGTCACTCAGAGCACTGCTTCAGAGTCACATCTTAGTGAGGCTTCCCTAACTATGAGAGTGATATTCCTTTTCCCTCTACCCTCCAATTCCCTCACTCCTATCAAACTGCAAAAATTCATTTTCTTCATCACAGAATCAGAAATTATCTTGTTTGAAAATGCTTTAATATCTGTTCTCCATTTGTTACCACATCAATGGAGCCTGTAACAGTAGGTGCTCAATAACTATTTGCTGAAGAGTTGATGTTTAGGACAGGCAGCTCTTGTCAGAGTGGGAAGCGTTGCTGGAGCAGTCAGCCAGAGCGGGCCTTCTATGAGAGACAGCAGATGCCGGCTGACCATGGGGTGGCCAGTGCACATGGTAGGTGGATGGGCAACTAAGTGATTGTCTGTATTAGTGTCCTGGTAACTGGTACCGCACACTGTCATTCTAAACACAGTTCTGGAGTGCAGAAGTCTAGAGTCAAGCTGTGGGCAGGGATGGTTCCTTTCTGGGCTCAAAGGGAGCAGGTTGTATCTCTCAGCCTCTGGTTCTTGTTGGCAATCCTGGAGATTCCTTCCTTTGTGCTTTGGCAATCCAGGCCCTACCTCTGAGGTCCTGTGGCTGTCTTCTCCCTGTGACCTGTCTTCCAAGGGCACCAGGCCTAGTGGTTATAAGGCCATCCTCCTGGGGCTGGGGGAGAGGGGGGTGGGGGGGGAGAGGGGGGAGGGGGGAGGGGAAGGGGGGGAGGCTCATCTTTACCAATCAATGTCCCTGTTTCCAAAGAAGTTTAGTTCTTTGGTTCTAGGGGGTCAGGACTTCATATCTTTTGGGGAGGGGACCCAGTTCAACCCGTAACACCTTCCAACTTCAAGGTCTAGCAATGTCTTTGGAGGTACTGGAGCACCCCTCTCTGGGTGTGGACTCTGAGCAGTCCTCTTGCTCTGTGTGGATCTCGGGCATCCCTTCCTGCTTTGTTGATCTTTTCTTTCCTCTTGCAGTATGGTGTACTGTGCACAATTTAGATGTTGTAAATTTACTCATTTCAAGTGTGTGACTCAATTACTTATACAGACTTTACTGAGCCGTATGACCACCATCACAATCTAATTTTAGAACATTTTGTCATCCCTAAAAGAAGCCCCTCAAAGTCAGCAGTCCTTCCTTCCTGCGCCCTGGGAGTTTTGTATGAACGTGGTGAGCCCCTTTGTGATGCACTCACGTTTGTTCATCGATGTCCTCCCAGGACCAGTCTTTACTCCTGTCCATCAGGTGGTTTTCTTTATCTCTGTGGAGCCTTCTGTCCCCTCCTGCCACCATTGGCTGTGGGGTGTGCATCCGAGGCCCGGCCCCTCTGGACATCTTCATGGACTGCACTGCAGAATTTATTTGGTGGTTTGTTTTTGTTTTTTGTTTTTTTTTGTCGGTTGTGGGGTTGAACTCTGGGCTTGGGCACTGTCCTTGTGCTCTTTAGCTCAAAGCGAGCACTCTGCCACTTGAGCTACAGGGCCACTTCTGGTTTTCTAGTGGTTTATTAATTTTTTTCTCTAGTGGTTTATTGGAGATAAGAGTCTTATGGACTTTACTGCCTGGGCTGGCTTTGAACTGTGATCTTCAGATCTCAGCCTCCTGAGTAGCTAGAATCCTAGCTACTGGCGCCTGGCTGGTGGTTTGTTTTTTGAGGTGAGGTTTCACTGTGTAGCCTGGACTGACCTTGAACCCAATGATACCCCTGCCTCAGCCTCCCCAGTGCTAGGATTACAGGTGTGTGCTAACACATTCAACTCAGACTTTATTTGAGTTGTACTCATTTAACATAAATGTCCTTTCTGTTCCAGGAGCTGGCCCTCGCTCCCCTTGCAGCCCGTATCACACCCACGCAGGCCCATCTGCTCTGGGGCCCATCACACGCACACACAAAACTAGCGCAGTGGAAAGCAAAGCCTGCTCTGTCCTCAGGGCTTCAAGCCCCATCGCATTGTGGGGGAGCTGCCCACAAAGGCAGAGGGAAATGGCAAAGAGAGGAAGGGGGTGGTTTTTCCCTTTGTTACTGCCCCCACTCAGGGCAGCTGCCCCTGGGCAGACCAGGTCATCAGCAACTCCCTTTCCCAGCAGGTGTGCCAGAGACATTTTCCTGGCCTTTTCATCATGGCCAAGCATGACTCAGGGTGGTGACTCAGCCAGTGAGCTGGGGGAAAGGAGGCTGGAAACAGCAAGCCCTGGCGGAGGGGGCGTGCCAGTGCAAATGTGCTTGGGGGCTGCTGTGACGCTGAAGTGCTTGAGCCGGGTAGGGCGAAACCAGGGGGCTGGGCCTCCAGGAAAGGGGGGAAGCCCCCTGCATGCAGCCAAGTAGACCCTGGTCTACACATACCACAGTGAACCCCTCTAATACAACTAATTGATGCTAAATAGAAAATGTGAGCAGGGCAAAGAGCCATGAATGGTGGTCATGCCTGGAATCCTGGCCTCTCAGGAGGCAGAGGCAGGAGGGTCATGAGTTCAAGGCCAGCTCCAGCAAAGTTAGACTTTGCCTCAAAAATCAAATACTCAAAAACTAGGGATGTGGCTCAAGTGGTAGAGTGCTTGCCGCGCATGTGAGAGGCCCTGGATCCTGTCTCCCCTACAAGGAGGAGGGGAGAAGGAACGAGAGC